ACAAATTCTGAAATCTCTCTGAGCTGTCATGAGAAGGCCCCCTCAGTGGTGGGGGATGTTCCTAAATAGACTCTGATTTTGCTCCTTAGGTGTAGATCGCTTGTCTGTTTTTTCTTTGCTTCCTTGCTTCATCCTCTTGGACCACCACCTTTTTTGTCCCTATTACCTTCCTTAGCCGTATCCAAAATGGACAATGGTAATATACCGCCCTAGGAGGATGAACAACTTTCCTAGCCCATTTCCTGCCGTAGATGCTTGGGAACACAAACATCATTTTGGTCTTGAACAGTCAAAGTCTCTTTTAGCCCTAGCTGGTAATTCTCTAGGCAGTATAACTCTCAAAAACTTAGTTGCCTTTTTATTTATTTGTTTCCAGTCAGCTCCACGTGCCCTAGCTGCATCCACAGTTCTTTTCTAATTGTACTTCTTATATTTGCTGTATAGCTCTGCTTTCTTGGTTCCGTACTTCTTTGACTTAATTTTGAGCACAGATGTTTCTGCTATAATGCCATATATGCTTTCCTGAAAAGCCTTACATTCAGTGAAATTGTGCACCAAAGTAACAGGGCCTAAGGGGAAAATAGGATTGGGGCAGACCATTCAAAATCTGTGGAACAGGGCCGGCCCGTGGCTCACTTGGGAGAATGCAGGGCTGATAACACCAAGGCCACGGGTTCGGATCCCTGTAAAGGGATGGCCGGTTAGCTCACTTCAGAGAGCATGGTGCTGACAACACCAAGTCAAGGGTTAAGATCCCCTTACCGGTCATCTTTAAAAAAAAAGGAAAAAGAAATCTGTGGAACACTATAACTATAATATAGTTTTTATGTGATAATAAAAATAATTATAATAAAAACAGTAGTATATTAAATCTCCACTGGTGTACATACCCAGCATCGTTCACGTGAACTTAATCCTTTGGGTAGTTGTTTCCTCCTCTGAGATTTTGGGCCTTGAGGACATTTGCTTCCAGCTGAGACCAGTTTCATCAAAATAAAAAATTTGATATATGGTATGGTGAAGGCATCAGCAATAAAAAACTGACTTTTTAATATTTTTTTAGTGGCTGGCCAGTACAGGGATACAAACCCTTGACCTTGGCATTATAAGGCTGTGCTCTTACCAACTGAGCTAACTGGCCAGCCCCAAAACTTACTTTTTTAAACACAAGGGAGAAACACATACTCTCAGCTTCACTAGATATAAAGTAGAAAGTGTAGTGGCTCATGAAGACACTGAATGAACCACTGTTTACATTAAAGGAAGGTACAGAGGTAGTATGTTTAGTTTTTTTTTTAAGGTCTTCGTATATTGCTAAGGCTTTCTTTTTAATTGAGAGAAGACTTTCTCCTGATCACTTCAAACATTAACTTGCTGGGGAAAATCTTGTATAAACCAACATGACTTCTGAGTTATACTGACATATTTTGCCTATTTACTAATAGCATTTGAACTAATTCACGTTAGAGAAATATGCTTTGTAGCAAGACACATCTTTAGTCTCTTTTTAGAAAAGTTGTTTTATTGGGTACCACTTTAATCAGGAGGTTTTATCAATGGTTGCAAAGGCCAAATCTTTGATTTGGTCTTTGCCTCAAGACTGAATTCTACTCAGCCTTTGTGGCTCAAAGACCTCAGTTTTTTATAAGCACTTGCTTCTTCTAAACCTATGAATCCCTGATTCTCTGGACTCCTTCTATTCTTGATTGTAAACTGACCCATTCTTTTCTGAACTCATCCATTTCACATAACAGTTAGTTAAATACAACCAACAGTAACCAACACACTCTTGTAATAGTCCATTTTCCTACTAGAGCTACTAGCTTTTGTGGTATATTATCTACCTTCTGAGATAATCAGGTGATAGTTTCACTGATAATTTCACCACTGCACACTATAAAGTTGCTAATCTTTTAGTCTTTGATAATCATTTCCTTGCTTCCTTCCACCCAGCTCTTGAGCCTTTGCCATATGTTTTAGGCTGTTTTCATAAGGTGTAAGCACCCCATTTCTGGGTCCTACCTGTATTACCAAGGATAAGCCAGATTATTCTGTGGTAGTAAACAATGCAAGATCTCAGCGGCTTTAAAAACACACTATGTGTATCCTGCAGATAATCTTAGTCATTTGGGTACCTTAGCTGATAGCAATCATTACTTTGAAGATTGCTAGTCACTGTGCCAGAGGGAAAAGCAGTCTGAAGGGTCTCTTATTGGTTAGTAAATGCCCTGGCCTTCCACATGTCACTTCTCATGATCTGCTGGTCAGGAATAGTCACATGGCCCTACCCAACTACAGGGGGGAAGGGTGAAGTTAGAAAATGCAGTCTTGCCATGTACCTAGAAGACCAAGAGCCAGAAATATTTAGAAAATGAATTAGTAACTGCCACAGAGATTTCTCTTCATTTTTTTCTTTTTCTTTCTAATTTTTGTTTAACTCAGCTTTTGCTAGTTAATTGAATTTTACTGTCTCTCTTCCCTTGCTTAATTTGAGATAATTAATATGAGTAAGTTTACTTAAATGATACATATAGTAGTTTACATTATTTCAGTGGGTCAGAAGTTTTGGCACCTGCAAAATAAAGCTACTAGTATTTTCCTACTTAAAATATGAAGTATGAAACTATTTGATGCAAAAAGATATGTGATTACAAGAATAATCAAGTTTAAATTATTTGGGGGTGTCATTTATTATAGTAGAAATAGACCATGAGCTTTGGAGTCAGGCAGGCCTGGAGTCAAATACTGCTTCTGTCATTTGATAGATATGTGATCTTAGACAAATTATTTAGCCTCTCTTAGCTATAACTTTCTTTTTTTTTTTTTTTTTTGTCTTTTGTCTTTTTCCGTGTCCAGCAACGGATCGCAACCCTCAGTGTTGCCCCCGTACCGGACCGGGGACCGGCAACAGGATCGCAACCCTCGGTGTTGCCCCCGCGCCTCGCTCAGCCAGTGAGCGGGAACCGGTCTGTATGTGGGATCCGAACCCTCGGGCGGGAGCGCCGCCGCGCTTCCCAAGCGGCGCACTTATCCAATGCGCCACTGGGCCGGCCCTTAGCTATAACTTTCTCATTTATAAATACAAAATTAGTATAAATGTATCTATTCTGATGCCGAGTAAAACACGGTGGCATTTATCACTACTTCTTTCTGAAATTCCACTAAATTGAAAGTAAAATAATATGTTTTAAAAAAAAATTCCATAAGGACAAAGAAAATGGGAGAGAAAGTGAAAGAGAAGATAATAGCAAAGGAATGATAGAAATAGTTGTGAACTCCATATAGTCATTGTAATATAAGCGATAAATACTGATTTTCTAAAAGTTGTGATACTAGGCTGACCCGTGGCTCACTTGGGAGAGTGTGGTGCTAAGGCCATGGGTTTGGATCCCTATATAGAGATGGCCGGTTTGCTCACTTGGGAGAGCGTGGTGCTGACAACACCAAATCAAGGGTTAAGATCCCCTTACCATTCATCTTTTGAAAAAATAAAATAAATAAAAAATGAAAGTAGTGATACAACCATATTGGGAGTGTGAGGGGAGAGTTGGGAACAATAAGGTGGGAAACTATCGTGAGAGACAAGAGATAATATCTGAAATTGAAAAAAAAGGGCAAGAAATAGAATCATATTATGTAGAAATGTGGAAGTAAATGGGACTGCTGGAATAGCATTATTGCCTCTGGGGTATGGGATTCAGATGGGTTGAAGTAGAGTTGGTATATTTGACTTGTAGAACTATAGATGCTTTTTTTTTTATGATTACTTTGGTAAAAAAATAAGTTTAAAAATCAACCCCAAAGTTTTGTGGTAGGTATTAAATAGAAATGATGAATAATAAAAAACTTTTACAGTGCCTATGCACAAAGCAGGCATTCAGTAAATACCAGTTTCCTTCCTTTTGCCAACTAGACAGGGTATGTGTTTGCAGTAATAGTCATATGACTCAGAGGTTAGGTGGTTGGCTAAACAGCAGTGTGAGGTATGTCACAAAGCAAATTATGTGCCCTTCTAATCTTTTTTTAAATTGATGGTTTTATTTTTCTTGGAACTATATCAACCTGATAGTTACTGTTTCTTAGAATTTAGGCTTCTGTGCAATGACAGATGAAAAATCACACAGTTATTGGGCTGGCCCCGTGGCTCACTCGGGAGAGTGCAGTGCTGATAGCACCAAGGCCGCGGGTTTGGATCCTATATAGGGATGGCCGGTGCGCTCACTGGCTGAGCATGGTGCAGACGACACCAAGCCAAGAGTTCCAATCCCCTTACCGGTCAAAAAAAAAAAAAAAAAAATCACCCAGTTATTGAGTGGATCTTATGAGCTATGCATAGAACAAATTTTAAAAACTTAGCAAGTTTGAAATTAATAAACCTGAAAACAATTATATCTATACTTAGATTAAACAATATTTAAGGCCAGAGACATTTATCTTCTCTTCTGTAGTAATGTCAGTTAACTGCTTTACTTCCATGGTCCACAGTGTCTGTCCCACTACCACCTTTATTTTGTGAGCTCTCACTGTGATAGATGTAGTGATTAATGTTGAAAGAAAGCCAGCCAGTATAAAGCTCTTGTGTGTTTCATACATGACACAGATTGTATAACTAGACTGTAAATACTTTGAGAACAGAGACCATATATTCTGCCCTATCAGTATGACCCATAGTATCTAGAATAATGAATGCTATAAAATAGTAGCTATTTATTTATTCATCATATATATATCATGTGCTAGGCACTGTGCTAGGCTCTGAGGATATCTTGGTGAACTGTACAGATGTGACTGTTACAGAATTTACATTCTAGCAGAAAATGTTTGTGAATTCCTATAATCCTGTAAAATAATGGCCCACACTGAACCATTTAAACAATATAAATCATTGTGTATATAAAGAATTTAATAATTTTAAGCTATGTTCGTTGTGATTTAAATGCATGCTATAAGAATGAAACAGTAGTATCTGATTTTTTTTCCCTCTTTCCTTTTCTTTGTAGATAAGATGCTCCAAGTCCCTTGCAGCTCTCTTCAAACGAAAAAATCACTAGTGCTCTGCTCTTGCCATAATACCAAACCTTTTTGACTTATACTCTGGTGCTGCAATGCTGGAAGAATTGCACACAGGTTCCAGGAATATATTTTTTTTTATTTGAATGATTCTTAGTGGATGGAGAAAGATTTGAGTCTTAATAATTACTTTTTTAAAGCTATTTCTCTGTAGTCTGAACTGCTTAATAAATTGGGCCACTTACCAATGAGCCACACAGCCAGTTCCTGTCAGGAACTGGTTGAAAACTGTGCTGTGCTTGTAGCAGGGATGGCACAGGAAGATAGCCGTCGTGGTCAAGTGCCATCTACCTTTTATCATGGTGCCAACCAAGAACTTGACCTGTCCACCAAAGTGTACAAAAGGGAATCAGGAAGTCCTTATTCCGTGTTAGTGGACACCAAGATGAGCAAACCACATCTCCATGAAACAGAGGAGCAGCCATATTTCAGGGAGACAAGAGCAGTGTCTGATGTGCATGCTGTTAAAGAAGACCAGGAGAATTCTGATGACACTGGAGAGGAGGAGGAAGAGGAAGAAGTCTCTTACAAAAGGGAGCAGATCATAGTGGAGGTAAACCTTAATAATCAAACATTAAATGTATCTAAAGGGGAAAAGGGTGTCTCTTCTCAGTCCAAAGAGACTCCTGTTCTTAAGACAAGCAGTGAGGATGAAGAGGAAGAGAGTGAGGAAGAGGCCACAGATGACAGCAATGACTATGGAGGGAACGAAAGGCAGAAGAAAAAGGAGAAGATAGTGGAGAAAGTCAGCGTTACACAAAGGAGAACCAGGAGAGCTGCCTCTGTTGCTGCAGCTGCCACTTCCCCTACTCCCAGAACTACAAGAAGTCGTAGGAAGAGTGTAGAGCCACCTAAGCGTAAGAAGCGGGCCACAAAGGAGCCCAAAGCACCAGTCCAGAAAGCTAAGTGTGAAGAGAAAGAGACTCTGACCTGTGAGAAGTGCCCCAGGGTGTTTAATACTCGCTGGTACCTGGAGAAGCACATGAACGTTACTCATAGGCGCATGCAGATTTGTGATAAATGTGGCAAGAAGTTTGTCCTGGAAAGTGAGCTGTCCCTTCACCAGCAAACAGACTGTGAAAAAAACATTCAGGTAGGTTTCATCACCGAGAAAGCAAACTTTCCAGGATAAAACCTGGCTGTTCAGATTCATCTGGTATCTACCCAAGAGAATAAATTCAATAGAGGCTGAAGGGACAGATTTCACCAATTTATCATTTAAAAGCTCCTGCTTTGGTCTTTTCAGAACTGAGGCTTAACATTTTATTTCAAAAGCATTAAATGTAACTGACTCTGGACTAGTGGGAACCCAGGTACATTGAACAGGGAATCTGTTATAGATGATTGACCAGGAGGTAAAGTCAACACCGACTTTGCACTGAAATTCACTGTTGTAGGACATGTAATGTAACTCATTCTGGCATCCTCTCTGTCAAGGTGGGAGACACTGAGTAAAGGTCAGGAGTAGAGAAAGGCCCCTTTCTAGGTTTAAAAGGATGCCAGATTCTAGTGCAGCTGATGGGGACAAAACCCATAAATGACTCAGACCTGTGGAAATGGAAGATCTTCAGGAGTGAGTTTGCTTTTACCTGTGGAGAGATGACAACACTAAATTTGTCAAGAGGCTGAGCCCATGGGAATATGCAAACTTTAAACAGAGGCTGAGCTGGTTGAAAATGTTGCCCACCTGGCAGTAGGGTTATGTAATGCTGCTGTACAGTATTATTATGGTAACAAAACATGGTATTCAAACCAGGCTGGTGTCTTGAAAGGACAATGTTGTGATAGGTTAAGAGGTGTGCTAATTATATTGAGTGGATTGCAGTTATATTGATTTGCACATGTGATTGCATATTACTGGATATTCATAAAAGGTAAGTCCATTAATGTTTCCATAAGATATGTAAAATGGAAATACTTTGTACCATATTTAAGCTAAACTTTTAAAAGATAAATTGTTTTGGTTTGTTTTTTTGGAGTGCTGCTAATATTGGTAATTACCTTTAAGTTTCACTTTTCACTTTGATTTGCTTTAAAGAGAGTTTTTAAAGATATAAATTATGTTTGTTAAAATTCACTGCTTTTGATTCATCGGTTGTGACTTGATCTCTGACATGCTGGGAAAATAAAAGAAGACTGAGTCATGGCACCCATATCCTCCAGTAGCTGCCAGTGCCCTCACTTGGGCATGAATTCGTTGTAACAGTTTGGGCCAAAGGGAGTGTGAAGCAGTGCTGCACTCTAGGGGTCACACTTGGTTTCTGTAATGATTCATCACTGAAAAGGTGTTCTTGATCTTTATATACAGTTTTCTAGCTTAAATTTGTTTTATTAAGTTACAGAAAAGAAAATATTTAATAAATTCTTTTTTTGTGACTTTCCTAGCTATTCCTCATAATAATACTTTTAAAGTTTTGTTTAGGTTTTGTGGATTCTACTAAATGAGCTGTCTTTACATTCCTAAAGAACAGTGTGCTTTGTTCTTACATATAGATCCTAATAATCGTGATGACCTGGTAACAAGTAAATAGTAAAACCCTGCCGCACAAAATGGCTTATAGGAATAGTCTGTCCTTTCTCTAGAGCAGTATTCAACTGGAGACTTATCTTTTAACTCAGAGTTCTTGTTTCCTGAAGTTACAGTGATGTTCAGAGATCTTTATTTACAGAGAATACTAACTTGTTCCCTTAAGTATCCCAGACTCTGATGATTCCTGAGAACTTGCTGGTGATGTTTTGCTTTAACCACAGATATTTTATTTTGATATACGTTAAGCCTGATATCCCATGCTATTGATGATTCATAATACAAGAGACTAGGCAGTGTGGTATGCATTTCCTATAGATATATGTAGGAGAGCTCTGGAACTGGGCCATAGGGAAAAGAAAGAATGATACTTATAGTTTAGAGGTTATATTAAATTCTGTCAGAGCAAAACGTTTAATAGAGTAAGTTAGATTTGGGAAAATATAATAAAATCTCAATTATTTGTGGTAATGAAGGTTCCAAATGTATTTTCTAGGTATAAAAAGTTTTATATTTCTACAGATCTATAACCATTAATATATATTTTGTTTTATCTTGTTTTTATTTCTGCTAATTTAAAATTAGTTTGTATACCCTAATTAAACACCTGTTAACTGCATGGTGACCCATGTGTAGGAGGCAGCCATACTTGGTAATCCATTTATTTAAAAAACTTGAAGGTTCTTCTCATAGGTACAAGACTAACTCCTTAATAGCAGTCAATTCTTTGATATTAGTGGAACTTTCCACTTCTGCTTGTCTTAGTTTTTGCCATTGTTTTCATACTTCCAAAGGGTCTGTAAAAGAACATACAGATGTTGGTGTTGGAATCTGGACTCCATGGAGAAATAGCATTGATCTGGATTCTGAGCTTGAGCTGTGAATCTAAAGCACATCCATTTCATCTGCCAGTAGGCTGGTATGGCTTATCTGCAAGACCCGATAAATAAAGATTATTTCTATTTATCCTGTTCAGTGTGTTTCCTGTAACAAATCATTCAAGAAACTCTGGTCCCTTCATGAACATATCAAGATTGTCCATGGATATGCAGAAAAGAAATTTTCCTGTGAAATTTGTGAAAAGAAATTCTATACCATGGCTCATGTGCGGAAACACATGGTTGGTAAGTTTTTTCTTTTTTTTTTTTTCTCTCACACCTGTAATTTTCCCTTCTTCTTCAGTGTGCTTTATGCTCTGGATTGGGCAGGATATGAGGAACTGCCTTACTTTAATCAGTTTTGACATGTTGAAACTAAATGCAACATGTCTTCAGTAAGCATCACCAAATTGAATGGTATAGTCTTCCACACCCAGGTTACTTTTCAGCACTGTTACTTATTTTTCTCTTTAGAGCATCACTATTAAGGTGTCACAAATCAAATGGCATAATTGCCCTCCAGTAGGACATCTGTCTTTTCCAGTTTGAGCTTTTTGGTGGACCTGTTTTGAGTATAAGTGCATTCTGTGTTGCAGCACACACGAAAGACATGCCATTTACATGTGAAACCTGTGGAAAATCATTTAAACGCAGCATGTCACTCAAGGTGCACTCCTTGCAGCATTCTGGAGAGAAGCCCTTCAGATGCGAGGTAAGGAATGTATACCCACAGGCCTAAGCCTAGGGGCTAGCGTTTGTCTAGACAGTGGAGCAGTGAGAGAGGTGTGCTGGAGTACAGGGCACAAGGCTGCGTTCCACGGAACCCTCAGACATGTGCTGTGAGCTTTGTGTCTTCTCTTACTGCTAGGTAGAGAAATGCCATTTTTAACACAGTGTTAACTCTCTTAGATTCAGATAACTTGGGAATAACATATAATGACTTATTTTTCTTTTCTCAGTGATTCAGAGAAGTTGAATATACTTCACGGATAATTATATGAGAAAATTTCCCTTTTATTAGTAACTCAGCTATAGAAATTTAGTAAAGCCAAATAGCTGACACAAGTTGCTTCTATTTTGAGTATGAAAAATAAACCTAATGTCAGAGACTATGTTAGGGTGGGCTCAGGTAAAGTTACTACGCTTGGCATTCAAAAATCTCTGCTGTGTCCAATGCAGAACTGTGACGAAAGGTTTCAATACAAGTACCAGCTACGCTCCCACATGAGCATCCACATTGGGCACAAACAGTTCATGTGCCAGTGGTGTGGCAAGGATTTCAACATGAAGCAGTACTTCGACGAACACATGAAAACACACACTGGTAAGAATTTCTTGGGAAAGGTACAGATATGTCTCATGCACTTGTCATTGATCATCTGTGAGTCTGTTTTTTAAGGAATCTAGATTTTAAGGAATCTGCATCCTAAGTGAAAATCCCACTTTAAGTTAACCTGATGTGTTAAAAATACAGATTTATTATACCGAAATATTAGACTTTCATAACTCTGCTTATTTGAAAAAGGATTATTTGGGAGTGCCTTTTCACTGCAAGTTCCTTTAAGACAGTGAGTGCTTTACTTGGGGTTCAGGAACTCCTGAGATTGTATGAAACTTGTTTTGTGTATGTGCATGTATCATTTTTCTAAGGAAGGGGTTTCGGATCTTAAAAAGATGGAGGGCACTGACTGCTTTAAATAGAATATACTCTCAGTATTCTTAAAGTTTGATTGAATTTGATTTATTAAAATACACTACTTTCCAGGAACACATCCTTTAATGAGATTAAATACTATTATACCACTTTGTGTTTTTAGGGGCATATGCTCCATAGCATGGATTTGAATCTTGTAAGCATTTGATTATCCAGCTTCCAGAGAACTAGCTAAAACAATAGCTCCCCTTATAAACACTATCATTGTATCTCAGTCTGAACTTGATGTTCTGGTATTAGCTGTCTTTGCACAAATTGAAGAGCATGAAGCATTTTTCAGGTTTCTAAATCTAATTATAGGAGTCTAGGTTCTATTAGTTTACAGAGTAGCAGAGCTAGAAATAATCACAAGGGGTTATCTTGCTTAGCCTGCTGTTCTTCTTGCTTAGCCTAGTGGTGAGGAAATTATGCCTATGGCTGGATTTTAGTTCCCATTTCTCTCTTGAAGTCCAAAGAAAAATGCCTGCCTGGTGGGCTTCTTTCTCATTCACAGCGGAGGACCCTCAAATATTAAGGGCTAGGCTAGAAGAAGAGTCATGAGAGCAGATTAATTAGTTAAATTAGACCTCAAAAGGTAAGATAACTTTGAAGACATTGCCCAAGTGGATAGCAGGATATATCAGAGTATTTAACAGATTCTCCTCTTATAATTTGGTGTCTATTCAGTAGGCTCTTCGTTCTAATTGAGTCACTTTTAGGATTCAGTTTTTCTGTTATTTGTCAAGAAACTGGAACTAGACAGAGCATAAATGTTTTTGAAGACAGAAGTTGTATCACATTCACGCAGTGCTTGGTGGGTAGGTGCTTGGCATACATCACATGATTGAAAGAGCCTCCAACACTTGAGTCCACCTTCTTGGCCTTTCTCCCCATTCCTTCCTCCCTCCTTATCCTTCTGCATTTCTTTCTCTTTCTTTCTTCCCCTTTGTCCTTTTTTTCCTTCAGTCCCTTAAATGTCCGTAATATGGAGCCAAAGTGTGTATTTCCTGATTATTTTAGTTCTTGAATAAAATTTTATGTTAAGTATTCTTCTTTGACCAAATAAGCAAGCTGATCATTTCTTATTTTTGTAAAGGAATACAACCACCTAAATTCACTTAAATTTTTATCTTTCTCATTAAAAGAGTAATATATACTTATTAAAGTATGTTAGAAACTATGAAAACTGTAAACAAAATAAAAATAAATTATTACCACCAAGAGATCACCACTGTTAACATTTTGGCATACACCCATTAAAAAAAATTCTTCAGTTTCTTAACACACATATAGCCAGTCATAAGTGTTTGTGTTTATGCATATAATAATACAAAAATTGAGTCTTTGTACTCTATTGTGACCTGCTTTTTATTTTACTGTATTATGTCATTATCAGGAATATAATTTTAATGGCTGTATAATATTTCTTCTTGTAAATTTGCTGTAATCATAGTCATCATTTACTATGCACATATGTGCCAGGCATTATCTTAAGTGCTTTACATATATTACCTCATTTAAAATATCAGTATAACCTTTTATAACTATTGAATAAAGTAATAGATGTGTTCTCCATTTATTAAGCCAGTTCCCTGTCAGACATTTAGGTTATTTCTATTTCCAGTTTTCCTACTGTTATAAATAATACTGTGATAAACAACTTTATGGCCAACACATCCATGATTATTTACTTAGGGTAAATTCCTGGAAGTGGGATTATTAGGGCAAAGAGATGTATACATTTTTTAAGACATGGTGGTATGTATTGCAAAAGAACCCTCAACATATACTCCTACCAGCTGTGCATGAAAACACCTATTTCCCCAGCCCTTTCTAATAGTAGATAAAATCCTTGCTGATTTGATAGGTAAGAAATGGCTTCTTGTATTAATTTGCATTTATTTAGTTACTAAATAAGATTGAACATTTTTTCATGTGCTTATTGGGTATCTGTATATTTTCTTTTCTGAATTGCTTGTGTCTTTTCTGTGTTCATTTTTCCATTGCAGTGTTTCTTATTTATAGTAGCTCTTTATATATTAAGTATGCTGGACCTTGTTTAACCCCAATATTGAAATACTTTCCCGTGGTTTGTCATCCGTCTTTCAGTATTATTTGTAATACTCAAATTGGGAAAGCGGCTGGATGATGGATTTGGACAATCCTGGCAATGCCACTCACTAGCAGAATTGTGCAACCTCTGTAGGCCTCTTGTTCCTTGGTATTAAATAAGAAAGACAGGAGTACCTGAGAGGGTACAGGAGAAGGGTTAGCTTAAGAGAAGAAAAGAGAGGTCTTTTAAGGCAGGATGAAACCACAGTTAGAGACAGCAGTATGTTTTGGTGGGGATTAAAGCCATTGTGGGAACTGACATTGATTGGGCTGTTTCTCTGCAGTTAAAGAGAAGTGAGGGAGATCTCATCTAGGGAAGATGACCAGCCATCAGGCAGGGTTTCCTAGGATGTGTGGACATGGGATGAGTTCAAAGTAGAATACTTGCTGATTCTCCTTGTACCACACACAGTGCTAAGTGCCTGGGGACACAAGAATGAATTAAGACCCAATTTCTGCCCTCGAGGAACTTACAACCTGATGAGTGGTGGTGCTGGTGGTGGTGGTGACGATGATGATGATAATAGCAGCTGAAATGCAGTGAGTGTCTACTGTGGGCTAGACACTGTTCCCTTGTGTTTTCTGTCACAATAACCTATTAGGTAGATTGTTATCTTTATTTTTCAGATGAGGAAACTGAGGCTCAGAGATTAACTAACTGGTCCAAGGCAGTCTGACTCCAGTATCATACACTTAATGGTTCTGATGTAAACTTAATGTAGCAAGTAATAAAATAGAGGGATACACAGGACTTCATGAGTGTAAAAAGCACCGTTCTAAGATCTGGTTCTCAGCTTCCAGGATTTGTCAGTGTACTCAGGCAGATCAGGATCAGAGAGGGATGATAGGTGCTAAGTAGTCCTAATGATATATAAATAAAATTGCTAATTTATTAATTTACAGTGAAAAGGCTGAGGGTCGGAACCTCACTCAATCATAAACTCTATGAACCAACAGCAATGCGAAATCCAAGCAAAAGACCCTTCTCTGATGGTGGCGAGGAGGATCCTCCGATGCAGGAAGGGGGTGAATTCTCGTCTATCACAGGGAAAGTGAGGGGCTTTCCAGGTGTTGCAGAAACAGAGTCCCCAGGAATCGGAAAGAACAAGGACCTAGAGAGAAATGCAAAGTCAATGCTCAACGCAGAGTGGAGAAGCAAGTTCAGTGATGTCACTACAGGGCTCATCTTCTTTCTTATGCTTTGTCATTGAAGGTTAATCAATGCTTTTAAAGGTGTTGGTGTTCCTGAGAGGACGGGTGTGCAAGTCTATGAAAAGAGAGTACCAAGAGTTGCCCCCACAAGAACTCTATTCCATTCTGATTTTAAAGAGAAAACTCCTGATTTTTCTATGGCAGAAATCGCTTCAGTTTACAAGGTTTTTGTGACATACTGATAGGTGTAGTTATTGGATCCTCAGGTATAGTGTGAGCCAATGCTGAGCAGGACCGAAAGAGATTCAACGCATTCGTGGTCTCGGTTGGCAAGAGCACAAAGACATGGCAGACCTCCTTCTCGGTTATCAGTCTGGAGCCACAGTAGACTGGATCAACTCCCAGCGCAGGCTTGGTACACTTGTTTGCCAGTTGCTCAACATTCCCTTCTAGCCCCCCAGGAAAGATCTTATGGAACAGATCCACATAGTAGCAAAAGGCACTCGGATGATCACATATAACACAATATGGAGATATCTCAACCAGTGCATGGATGGTACATCTTGAGCAGGTTGGTGGCTCTAGAGATAGTCAAGTATAAGGATGCAGAGGACTATGTTAGAAAGACTGTTGGCACGTGGTTTGGTTATGCTGGTGTGGTCCAACATCAAGCTGTGGTTAGGCTGACTCCCAAAGAGTTTCCAAATCTTGTGACTGCTGTGAACTATTGGACCTGAAGGAACACCCCGTCCTTCCTTCACTGGGTTTGCTGCACCTGAATGCATCCCTGATGCAACCATAACCATCCCATCTCTCCAAATGGCATCTGTTTGCTGGATAAAAAGAGGAGACTTCTGAGTGATGTCTCAGCTGCTGTCTCACTAGTTGGTGTCTCAGGCTATGAGTAACCTGAACCAACTCAGTTCTTTAAAAAAAAAGAAAGAAAGAAAGAAAAAGCTGAGGGTCAAGTGGTTCAGAACTCTTAATGTTCTTTAAACAGCATATCCTAAAGAAAAATCTGTATTAGAAGCTAAATTAAATTATAATCAGAAGATTGTCAGGGACAGGTAATTAGAGCAAAAGAAGGTAATTGAATGATCCTCATGGTGAGTACCATACTTCATCAAATCCAAGAAGCCGTCAGTTGTAACACAAACTTAATTTATATATTGCTAAGGAAATGCTGGAAATTAAACAATGACATACCATTGGTTATAAGTTGTATGTCAGTTTCAGAGATGTTAAAATGTGGGGGAGGTGCATGTCTTAGAATTAACAAATATTTACTGATAAGTATTTATTAAGAATCTACTAAATGGGGCTATTGTGGTGAGCAAGACTGAAATAATCCCAAAGTCCACAGAGTTTAGAGTCAGATTGGGGTGATAAGCAAGCAAGGCATAACTGTGGATTGGTGGTGAGAGCATAGTAAGTACATGGAACTTGTAAGAAAAAGAAGTTGGCTAGAGTTTGATGGATGTGTGAGGGGGCAAGGAATATGATAAGATGTGATACTGGAGAGCAGTAAGTAGGTACCAGACCACAAAGAAGCCCATAACCATGTAAAAATGTTTGGACTTTAAGGACAGTGGGAAGTTCTTGAATGGTTTTTTTTTTTTTAAAAAAGATGACCGGTAAGGGGATCTCAACCCTTGGCTTGGTGTTGTCAAACCGGCCATCCGTATATGGGATCCGAACCCGCGGCCTTGGGGTTATCAGCACCGAACTCTCCCGAGGGGGCCTTGGGCCGGCCCTTTTTTTTTTTTTTTACTGACTGGTAACGGGATCGCAACCCTCGGTGTTGCGTCCGCACCGTGCTCAGCCAGTGAGCGGGAACCGGTCTCCACATGGGATCCGAACCCGCGGCCTTGGGGTTATCAGCACCGAACTCTCCCGAGGGGGCCTTGGGCCGGCCCTTTTTTTTTTTTTTTACTGACTGGTAACGGGATCGCAACCCTCGGTGTTGCGTCCGCACCGTGCTCAGCCAGTGAGCGGGAACCGGTCTCCACATGGGATCCGAACCCGCGGCCTTGGGGTTATCAGCACCGAACTCTCCCGAGGGGGCCTTGGGCCGGCCCTTTTTTTTTTTTTTTACTGACTGGTAACGGGATCGCAACCCTCGGTGTTGCGTCCGCACCGTGCTCAGCCAGTGAGCGGGAACCGGTCTCCACATGGGATCCGAACCCTCGGCAGGAGCGCCGCTGCGCTCCCAAGCTGCACACTCTCCAGTGCGCCACCGGGCCGGCCCTCTTGAATGGTTTTAAGCAGAGTGTGACACAACTATTTGAAAGTTCATTTTCGCTACAGTGTGGAGAATGGGCTGGAGAGTAGGGAGCAGGAACAGAAATGGTGAAATCAGAGGACTGGCCAGTTCGCTCAGTTGTTTAGAGCACAACCTTGTAACACCAAGGTCATGGGTTCAGATCCCTATACCAGCCAGCCACCAAAAAAAAAAAAAAAAAATGGTGAAATCAATCAGGTGGATATTGCATAATCCAGGTTGAAGGATTGTGATGATATGAACTGTGGTAATAGCAGTGGATGAAAGTAAAGCAATAGACAAGGTAGAGTTGAATTAACTTGATTGATTAGATTCAAGGATTAGTCCCAGATTTGGGGCTTTATACCACTTGTCAAGATAGAGAATAGTGGAGGAAGGAGCAAGTTTACTAAGTTGGGTAATGAATTTAATTTTGCACTTGTCAGTTTTGAGATAACTATAGGACATTCAAGTGGAGATATCCAGTAAGTAGTTTGAAAAATGGGGTAAAGCTCAAGAGAGAGATTTAAGTAAGATATATAGATATATGAATTTCTTTTTTTTTTTTTTTTAAAGATGACCGGAAAGGGGATCTTAACCCTTGGCTTGGTGTTGTCAGCACCACGCTCAGCCAGTGAGCAAACCAGCTATCCCTATATAGGGATACGAACCTGTGGCCTTGGTGTTATCAGCACCACACTCTCTCGAGTGAGCCACGGGCCGGCCCATAGATATATAGATATATGAATTTCTGATGCTTCTCAAGGATATTCCCACTAAGCAGACTGGAATGCTTGTGTTTATTGGCCAGATTTCTTTTTCCTTTGATCAGCGCATAAAATAACTAGCCAAATTCTTTTTCTTTGCTATCTCCCTGCAGATTCTCTGACTTCATTTATAATGTTCTTTCTTCAGACTCATTACAGTACTGTTTTTTACAGTTAAATTAGCTTTATCTATTAGGTATATCTTTAGATATATTAATGTACATGCTTTTCTAGTTACCTTTATGAATTTAGCTGTTACTGTATCTTCTAGCCATCCATTTACCAGCTGTTCTTTAAAGTGGGACATTGTACAGGTGGTTGATTTCAAATGTTAGATCTTAATTTTTCCTTGTGTCAGCTTCATTGTATTGTTACCTTGAGGTTTCAGAGGAACCTTAACATCAACCATTGGCACAATTAGGAGATGGGGCCTAATGAATAATGAGAGTTAGAGGTAGGTGGGGCCAAGTGAAGGTCTGGAACAACAAGTATGGAAAATTTAGTAGGACACCAACAAATGAATCAGATACTATTAAGCAGTAAAAGGGACCAATTTTAATTTTAACCTGTGGATTTGTGGTATTCTAGTTCTAATTGTTTTTTGTCTTCTGTGGCAAATCATTTATAGCCTAGAAGACTACAAATGAGAGATTATCAGAGAATTCAGGATTGGGGTTTGAGCACATAATAGAAAGTTAAATGTTCGTATATTCAATAAACGTTTAATAAATGCATGTTCTTTGTGAGTAGTGTCTAGTATGCCTAAGAAGTGATTAGTGAATCAAGTGCTTATACTAGACTAATAATTCAAAGATTAGGTCCTTTAGCTCTCTTTCCATATGGCTGTTGGGAGTGAAGAATACTAACTCTGGAGAGTCAGGGAGTGGGAGGTCCAGGGGTTTAGTAGGTTATCAAACAGGTGTGCTTTTAAAACATTTTATTGTGCAAGTAAATCATGATTACTTTAGAAAAACAGAAAATGCACATTAGCATATGAAATAAAATAAAACATCACCAATAATCTCATTACCTAGGTAATCACTGGTAACATCTGCTGTATTTCTTTCCATATTTTTTCTATGCATACTTTTTTTTTTAAAAGATGACCGGTAAGGTGATCTTAACCCTTGACTTGGTGTTGTCAGCACCACGCTCTCCAAAGTGAGCTAACTGGCCATCCCTATATAGGGATCCGAACCCTTGGCCTTGGTGTTATCAGCACCACACTCTCCCAAGTGAGCCATGGACCAGCCCCTGTGCATATTTTTCATTAAAGGTGGATAATACTATGTTTACATTTTCACAACTCGCCTGTTTTACTTAATAGGTTATAGATAATCTTAATAGATTATAGATTTTCTTGTTATTACATTTCTGTACTTTATAGCATTTTTCAGTGGCATTTTCCATCAGGTGTATATACCATAACTGATTTAATCAATTTTATCTAACATAGAATTTGAAGGTTTTAAGATGATTGAAGGAAATGGATTAAAAAGAAGAAAAACAAGCTGGGCTCAGAACTCATCCAGAAAGATGAGTATGAATCACAGTGAAGAGCCTAGCAGTGGCAGTGATTGAATAATGAAAAGCAGAAAGATAAGAGAAATACGATTGTCTGAAAATAGTACTGGTGATTACAGGGAAAACTGATCCCTACTGACTCTTCAATTAGATCTCTCAGGGAAGTGAGAAAAATTTTGGCTTCCATGGAAGAGGACGCTAGGAGATGTCAGTTTTCTACTAGAATGAGAAGGTGGAGAGAAAAAAATAGGACTATGATGTGGGGAAGAGGTATTTGCTCCTAGTATCAGAAGGGGTCCCAAAGTGGGGGGAAACGGTAAGAAAATACATACCTTTCCTGTGCCAAAATTCACACTGAGGTGTGAAATGCTGTGGTTTATATGTCAAAAGCAGGGACCCTGGAGCCAGACTGCAGTATTTTAAATCCTGACTAGATTAGCACATAGCTTTGTACAAGTTTCTTAATTTCCTCATCAGTAAAATTGGGATAATAATATACATATCTCATAGGTCACTGTGAGGATCATCAAGGTTAATAGACATCAAGCAATTAGAGCAGTGCCTAGTACACAGTAAGATTCAGTACACACAGAGTGGAATAAGCACACCTGTTGGAAGGAGAGGGAGCAGCAATTGGAGTGACAGCAGACTCGTAGCAGGAGTTAAAGATATGTGTTTCATACATTGAGAATTGATCAGGAATTGAGTACAAGCATGTTGTCACGAAGGTGCATATACGTGGGTACTCCACACTTCATCTCACTATTCCGTGTGAAATGATTAATGGGCATATATATTCAGAAAATCATAAAAAAAAGATCATTTTGTTGTCTCTCTGTAATCTGGACAGAGAAGGCTGATATAGCATGGAACTAAGCAATAAATCCAAGGGAAAGTTAGGAAGCTTAAAAATTAAGCACTCAGACCCCAAACCTAATTTCCCCGCTAAGTGCCTTTAGAACTGTGGAATTTTGTGTCCTTTTTGATTCATTGGCCCAGTGGTTCTCAGCCAGGAGCAATAACCCCCTTCCCTCCCCACATTTGGAAATGGTATAGGGACATTTTTGATTGTCAGAATCTCTTGGGGGCATTTAGTAAGCCAATATGCCAAACTGTCCCACATAATGAAGAATTGTCTGCAGAAATGCCAGGAGCACTCACTTTGAGAAACACTGCAGTGTGAAATTCATGTTGTAGGGTGAGTCAGGCCAGCATTTTCCACAAAAAGCAAGCTACATGCTGAGGATTCTGTGTAAGTAGTCATGAAGAGAACAGATAAGCTCCACAGGACATTTTCAGCAGTGTCTTACTTTTGGTTGGGATGTCAGAAGTGGCTTGCATATTAACTTGCCTAAATTTGGAGGCAGAGATTCACCTTTGATAATAATTCCCTTGAGCACAAGAAAGCCATTTGAATGGTTCTTTGTGTAGGATGTGTAGGATCACTAACATAATCATCCTCTCTTCCTCCTCCTCTTTCTTTTAACCAAGCCCCGATGGTAGATTGTATGTAAATTTTACTTGAATCTACTCTGATCCGTTAAGTCTCAACTTGGGGGAACTCTGTAAGACTTAGAATGTGATATGCTATGAGGCAGAGAAGTGGTAATCTCTATTTTAAATAGGAGGAACAGCATGAGCACATAATTACCGCCTAGTATGTTAATCATTTCTTGTCTGTGTTCATCTCAGGAGAGAAACCCTTTATCTGTGAAATCTGTGGCAAAAGCTTCACCAGCCGCCCCAACATGAAGAGGCACCGCAGAACTCACACAGGCGAGAAGCCCTATCCATGTGATGTGTGTGGCCAGCGGTTCCGCTTCTCCAACATGCTTAAGGCCCACAAGGAGAAGTGCTTTCGGGTGACCAGCCCTGTGAATGTGCCGCCTGCTGTCCAGATACCACTTACAACTTCCCCAGCCACCCCTATTCCTTCTGTGGTGAACACAACCACAACCCCAGCCCCTCCGATCAGTATGAACCCTGTAAGCACTCTTCCCCCTCGGCCCATTCCCCACCCCTTCTCGCACCTTCACATCCACCCACACCCTCACCACCCACACCACCTTCCTATCCCTCCAGTCCCTCACCTCCCCCCACCTCCAGCTCTCTTTAAGAGTGAGCCTTTAAATCACAGAGGCCAGAGTGAGGACAACTTTCTGCGGCACCTGGCAGAGAAGAACAGTACAGCACAGCATCATTAACATCCGTCTCCTTAAGTGTGTTCTCCAGCAGTTTTGTTCCCATGTCTGTTTACAGAGAGGGAGTTGGGAGCATTTCTGTAGTTCTCAGGCTCTCCTCAGCCTCCACCAAGAGCTTTGTTATTGTCTTGGTGAATCAACAGATCCAAGGGAATGAACAAGAAGACTACCTTAAGCTCACAGAGGGAACTGTCATCTAAATCAGGGGAACCACCGAACTAAAGCCCAATTTGCTTGCATTTTCTGATGACTTTTATAAATTTCAAATACTCAGACTTGTGGAATTTTATAATTTCATATCAGCTGATGAGGTATGCTTGCTTTTATATCTTGGACTTCTCCTCAAAGAGGGGTAGGCCTGGTTTCCTTTGTACTAATCGGGAAGGCTGTGAGATTAATCCAGAGCATTAATTGTATCACTGTGTATCGTAATGAATTTTTTCAGCTTTTGGTGCTGGCTACAAAGTTGAGCTGGCCACGTTTCACAGTATATCAAGCATTATAGAGAAAGATGGAAATTTCCTTCTTTGTGTAGCTCTCCTAACGCACTCTTTATTTTACTACAGAAATTATTTTAGAGTTTTTGTATAGACTTCTTTAGTAGTCTGTTTCTAAATGAAATGTATTTCAATAAGCGGTGTAATTTTTTCAGTGTAGCTGAACGTATGTTGTAAAATAGAAAAAATTTTTATAATCATCAAAATGTGATTGTTAAAGATGCATATAACTTCTATAATTATCCTTACATCCGTACAACTCAAAGGTGCTTCAGAAACTAGATGTATCTGAGAGGGTCTCCAGACCAGGTTATTGCAAAAATGAGGTTTTGCTTTCAGAACCTGGCCTAAGCACATGATAGTTTTTAAGTCTCTGCTTAACTCTGAAATGTCTGTTAGGCTCACTGACATGCTCCTGTCCCCATGTTCCATTTCGCTCAGTTAGTGCATTTACATGAAATGTTTTGCAGGGGGTTGGGCCTTTTCCAGGGAAGTCACCTAAGGCTTACATCTGAAAATCTCAGTAAAGCTGTTCACCATCAAGAGGAAGAAGTAGTGGAGACTGTTTCATTTCAGTCACATCTGTTTCTCACTTCCCTTAGGAACTATGTTCATAGTTCACTTATGTGGGATGACAAATTGAAGTCTCTTGTTTTGAGGTTGCTTTATTTTTCTAGGATTGTTATGAGAAGCTAAAATAGTAAACTAAAATTACAAACATGCTGTTGCTGATATTGGCTGAGAAATTTGGATGAGAAGACAAATTGGTTGTGAGATTTTAAATGTCTGTTTTATATAAAATGTGGACATGTTCACAACTTTGAGTTATTTTAACACAGTTTAAATTGTAGTGAGGGAAAACTAAGTTTTATTGCCCTATCCTCTGCAAATGTTTATGTGATACCAGCATTCTTAGGTGATAAAGAGAGCAGCACCTCTAATTACCTTTAGGCTGGTTACTTCTTCAAGTTTGGGGAACTTCAAAAGAGCATGGTGAACTAGGAGCTTATCATAGGAAAGGCTGAACAGAAGGGCTAACATATTGGTTACATTTAACTAAGCAAATTTATACAGACTCAGTCTAGCTAAAAATTTTGTATTTCTTCATCTCAGAGAACTGAGTTTCAAGGCTAGGTCACTTCCTCCTGTCCTTCCATTTTTTAATCTTGAAATTTCTTCCTTGTTTTCCCCTCAGACTCTTAAATCGTTGCCTGAGTCAGAACCCTGGCTTTTATTTATTTTTTATTTTTAATGTTAAATGTGCAAGCATGCTTCAGGCACTTTTCTGGCTGATTAGCTCTCTGGCAGGAAAAAATGGAACTCTTTCATTTGAAGGTTAAATCCTTATTTTTAAAATATCTCACACTCTATTAGCTTTTGGTTTAATGTCTCCAAATTTTCTCCCCTTGATTTTGCCTTTGTCTTCTATTATGAGCATAGGATAATTTTGGAGTGAGGCAGAAAAGTATCTTAAGACATACTTTTCTTCCTGTTTTTACATGTAAGTTTTTAGGAATGGTATTTTTAATATTTATATACATTCTTTGAGCACCCAGGTACCCAAGCCAATAAGGAAAGATAATTCCTTGCTTATGACTGTTGTGTCTTCACTGGCTGTCTCCCCTCCACAATTTCCTTTGCATTCCCTGACAAGTTTGTAAAGCTACACCTTTATGTAGACATATCATTATTTCATGGTCAAGCCTGTAATATTAAAATGACATTTTTTTTAAAAGATGTAAATTGTAGCTTAGTTAATTGTTATACCTTATTTTGTTCTAAATAAATTTACAGTATTGGGCAGCAATTCTTTTTTTTTTTTTTAAGATGACCAGTAAGGGGATCTTAACCTTTGACTTGGTGTTGTCAGCACCATGTTCTCCCAAGTGAGCGAACCGGCCATCCCTATATAGGGATCCGAACCCACGGCCTTGGTGTTATCAGCACCGCACTCTCCCAAGTGAGCCACGGGCCGGCCCCTCAGCCCTAACGATTCTTAATTCTAGACTTGAGACCACTGAATCAACCATTTCAAGTTGTGTACTATAATTAATTATACACTAGAATATTCTGGTAGTTTTCTTTGATTTCTCATTCAAATAACTATAGCCATAAGACAATATCTGCTACACAGGAAAACCAATATTAAGCAAATAATCACCATCATCCTTAACATAAGCAAAAAAGGATTATTTTTAAGAAATTAACATTGTCACACAGTACTGAGATGTATTGTGGAGCAATCTAGAAATTTCTATTTTTTTTCTCAGATAAGTATACCTTCCCTACTTGGGTCCTGTGGTCTTCAGGAAAACTGCTCAGAATATGATGATGATTCATCAGTGTCATATTACATATGAATAATGAAATGCATTAAGAATATTCATAACATTAATGCTTCTGAATATAGGACTGCAGGATTAAGCCTTAAACGTATATGTGCATCAGGTTTAACATGCTTAAGATTCAAACTCAGGGTTGAAAATTTGTTTGGGGTCCTCTACTAACATGAAAGTTGGATTATGTGGTATGTTTTCTCCCACATAAGATACAGCACCCCATGAATTCTTCAGAATTTATTATCTATTTGTTAATCTATTTATGAAAAAAAAAGAATTATGAGGGAGTTTGAGTTCTCAGCCCTTATCTGTACTTGTGTCTTTTAAAGACAGCAAAAGCCACGTTTTGGCATTATATGGCTATCAAGTTGAGGCTGTCTCTCTCATCACCTAATTTTATTGTTTTGAAAGGCTTGTATCATTGCTAGGGTTAAGAATTATTTGAGGAAAATCCCCAAGGACTTTTTGGAGTTGGCATTGCATTTGGGGGGTTGTTTTTTGCATTTTTCTATTCTTTTCTCATAGATTTATCATTCAAATATAAACTCTTCCTTAGCTTTAATAAAAGGCTGCTGCTTTCTCAAATTGAGTTAGGTAGGCTCATAATGAGTTAGATTTTTAAATTTGAATGAGGAGATGAAGATGAACAGTTTAAAGATATGTAGGTTCATTTCCACACATATATTTGTGATTTGATTCTTATTTTTAGCAAGCAGGGGAGGTCTTCACACAAAACTTTACTGTAGTTCAAAGAAACCTTTGCAAATCAGTTACATAACACTGTTATAGTCTATCAGTTACATAGTGTTCTGAATTGACTGAGCATGGACATTACCATAGTTGAACTATCTTTTTAAAGCCTGCATTTGTTGGAAGTACCTTTTTATTGTGGTTAGAACTCTCCCTATGATTTGTCCCTCGTATACTAACTGAAGGCAAAGTGCTCTGAAGAGATGCTTGTAAACTTTGAATTTCTTGAAATTTTTTTCAGTTTTTATGCTTGTTGAATGGATATGTATGTTTAGTTTCATTTTTATTTCACTGGAAGTTTTAAATTATGAGAAGATGAAGCAGAGATAGAAACCCATTGCAGACGTATATATATTTACTCTATCTTGTAAATTTCGGTTAGTAAAATACAGAACAGTAGGTAGGTTTTAATATTTTAAAAAATAAAGAAAAAATACTAAAAAACTAAAGTTAGACAAACCCTTCTGTTTGAGCTCCTGTACAGAAAAGACAATTTTTATTGCATTGCTGATCCAAATGATGAATATTTTGATGCTGTTCTAGACTGTATGGGAAGTATTTAATGAAAAAGTGGATTGAGTTACAGTTACGAATTTTATCAGCTAACTACCACTAAAAAAACAAAAAATCATATGGAATTCTTCAGACTATAAAATTGATCAAATAAACTGGGTGTTAATTTTCCTTTGCCTAAACCGAGATAGGAAATTTCCCAAAATATCATTTTTTTCAGGAATGAAATGTCATAAAGCCATTGGAGATAGTGGCATTATCATGCAATAATAACACCACCCTAGCAACCTGCTTTTGTCATCTGTAGCATTTATAATAAATGATGATGACTTTTCAACCCTGGGCACTACCTCGATAAAGCAAACCAGAGATCCTCTCTACACTTTCTATGGAAGCCATAAAAGTTGCCATCAATATATCCACTTTCATAGTTCTATACTTTTATACTATCTAGACTTTTTTATAGACTTTATGATTGGATCTTTTTGTCTTAAAGGATAGGTTTTGCAAGATTCAAAGGAAAATCAAACTCCTTGGTTGTCCTAACTTTGAAGCTTTAGCTTCAGTAAATTTGTTTAAAGAATTAGATAATGAACCACTTATCAAATTCTTTAAGTCAAAACTATGTTGCAGAGTTGCTGGCAAACAGACTTCTCTTTCTTGTTCGTTGAGTAGATGCTATCTTGTAAGAAACTACGTATAAAGTGAATTTCTTTCTACCTTGTTATTCTATGTATTACTTAATAATACATGTGTTGTCACAATGTTCCTGGACTTGTTTTTATTTCTTTATGACAGATAAATGGGTATACACCTCCCTCTCATCCTCTGTTATCTCACTACACCTTCAGTCTCTCTCACTCTGTTCTTGAGTGCCTTCAAAAAAGCCAGCATCCTGGAACATTCTTTTCCTGGTCTAAATCCTACCTCTGATTATTTCATTCTCCATGAGTATTGGAATTCACCCTTATTCCAATGGGTTTATCTCTACAAACTAGCTAAAACCTTGGATGAGAATTTTGAACCTATTTGTATTGTTCCTCCATGCCATTTGTAGGCTATATTTTAAAGTTTTATTTATGTCTTATTTCTTCATGTATTACATCTCTAGAATCGAAAGATTTTATGCTTACCTTACTCTTCACCTTCTTTTCTTTCACCAGAAACTAGACGTTCCTTTACAGTTAGAGATCATCGAGTATCTCTTTTGAACATCTTTTTCTCATCTGAAGTCTTCCTAAATGCCTCCCTTTCTGATTAAGGGATCCGGAATGCTGCTGTTGCTGTGCCCTGTTCCTGGGCCCTCTCTCTTTCATAAACATTTTGCAAGGTTGTGCCCACAATTTTATTTTAGTCTAATTAATTTAAAACTGTTCTCTGGGTTTATCAAAAGTCCTTTATTGATTCTTGATCTGTCTCTCTCATCCCTTTGTCTTTCAAAAACGTCTTTACTTTCTTTTTAGTTCTCTAATTCATTCTAACAGTATGACTGATACATAATATATGAAGGATGTAATAAAAAGGTTGCAGTGTGTTCTCCAATATGAGCATCTCATTGATAAAATATTTTGGCAATTGGCTAATCTTTCACAGCCAAAACTGGAGTTTGTGCTGTGTATGGGTCTCTTGCTCCCTCTCAGTTCAACAAAACTGAAAAAAAAAAAAAAAAAAAAAAAAAAAACTTTT